TAAAGAGCAGAAGGAGGCTGCAGTGGGGGGAGCATAGAATAGCAAAGAGAAACTGCAGAGTGTGCGAAGACCGCATGTGGGGAAGGCCCTGAGGCCAGGGAGCTGTGACAGAGAGAAGCCCAGGGACCAGGCAGCTTCTGTGGAGAAACCTGGATGGAGTCTGGGCCTAAAGGCAAGAGATGGAAGGCTAAGCTCCAGCTAGGAAGAACTGGGAGGACAAGCTGGGACAGAATAAGAGCTCTGGCTATGAGGGAAGACACCAGAGCTTAGTATGGACTCTTATGTGGTGATGGGCTTTATTTTGGGACCCTGTGATGGTTAAGAACTATTTCTGTTATTGAAGTGGCCCTAGGCAGGGGTGATAATATGGAAAGGAATTGTTTCTGCTACTAAATCAGCCCTAGGCAGGGGTGATGTTATCCTAGAAAAGAATCATCCTATTATTAAGCCAGCCACGGGCAAAGGGTGGGACAGCTGTGTGAAAGTTGTGTGCAGTTCTTACAGGTCCTGCAAATGGGGGCTAAAGGGATCAGTGTGCCTGTAAAGTGACCCAGGATGGAGTTCTTAGTAGATGGCCATCCTACAGGAGCCACTACAAAACAAAATTGTTCCATATTTTAATGTCCAGTTAAATAACTTATTACTGTTCTGGGTGCATTATTCATTTTCATATATAATTCAATAAAACTCTCAAATTCTAATTCACCTGAAACTGCCAGAAAATTTCAGGAGTATCACAGAAGTCTTAGTACTTGTCACAGAAGCATGGTGCCAAAGCATTCCCATTACAACTTTAATTCATTTAAAGTCAGACCCTGATACCCTTACTCACATGGAATAGTATTTTACAAGTAAGTGATATCAAAGGCACCACTTGTGAAGGGGTGATATTAAACCTGAGTTAAGGGTATCAGATAAGTACCCTTGGGCATATGCTGAAGTAAAAGGAGGGTAGTATTAAAACTGGAACCAAGAGTAAATGCCTACATTTTTCAGTTCACATATTAGCTATAAAGAACTTACTTTTATATCCAAAGCGTGTTGCAGTTTGAAGCGCATAGCTTCTTGCTCCTGACACTGGATTATGCACTGACATTCTGCAAATTGCATAGATGCCTGCAAGAGAGAATATGAGATTTAATTAACCTTTTCTTTGTTTTCTATTAAATGTTTTTAATCCTTTCTCTCTAATAAGAACAAGGGGCCCTACAAAGAGACCTTTTATTTGTATAGTGCCAGCAGTGTGGTAGGTGCTTTCTAGAAATATAAGACCAGATGCCGGCCCTGCAGAGCTTCCAAAAGGCAGCTGAATTGCCATATGACCCTAGTAGCAATGATCTCCACACAACAACCTTAGTGAAAGGAGATATTCCTATTGGAAAGAATCCTGAACACCTACGGGCTTTGGTAATCCAAGTGTATTAACTGGGCAAAGCCCTCCTCAAGGCTTTAAAATGGATGGGGGGGTGAAGTCTGGAATCTATACTCTGTTAAATAATACAACTTGTTAAAGATTGTTTATAGTGGAAAAATGTGATATATGCAGATATGATCATACGTATTCCGGTTCTTTAAATCTGTAGCAGGAAACTAAGCAACAGGAGCTGGGGAAGTTTCTGAGCCCGAGCGCTACTGTGAAGCAGAGAGAGACAGGGACATTTTAGGGAGGGTGTTTTCATAATTCTAATAAAGTTCCTTGTTCAGTGTTAGAAGAAACTGAGTTTCTTTCTGTCATTCTTTACCATTGTAACATGACAAAAAGGCAGTTGACTCTCTATGCTCACTGAAGCATGATGAATACAGTGTTCATACACATAATTAGCTGCCTCTTGTTTGCACGGTAGTTTCTATTTCAACATTCAACTCAAAAATAATTTATGAGCAGCAGGTTGATCAATTACATGTAATGATGTCTATACAGTGGAGGCTCTCCAGGGTAGGTAAGATAGGCTCTATCTGTCCTGTCTGACCATCTGTTATGATCTTTACCCACTGCTTTAAATGGGCTCTGACGGTACTTTTTACAGATAGTTTTCACCCACTCACTTTCAGACAGCACCAGCCTTCATTGTGTCTATGCCTTTGTTAGTTGGCTATATTATTACTGTATGTTCTGTTACACACAACAAAGCTGTACTAACATTATTAATGTTGCAGAGTCACGCACTCAAATTTAGGAAACGGCCAGAATTAAGGATGCCTGTGGTGCTGGCTCCGCATCTAATCTGTCTTCCCCCCCTCGCAGGCTGAGTCTCCCTCCTTAGGTTCCTCATCCCAGTCACCCCAACAACCACCTTGTCTCAGTCTCCTTGCCCAACCAGTCTCTGTCCACCCACAGGCTCCTTGTTCTAATCTACTCCTTCTCCGCACCCTACTAGGACTAGCTCTCTTCCCCTCTGTATATGCATCAAGGGGGGAGGGATAGCTCAGTGGTTTGAGCATTGGCCTGCTAAACCCAGGGTTGTGAGTTCAATCCTTGAGGGGGCTATTTAGGGATCTGGGGCAAAAATCTGTCTGGGGCTTGGTCCTGCTTTGAGCAGGGAGTTGGACTAGATGACCTCCTGAGGTCCCTTCCAACCCAAATAGTCTATGATTCAAGCATGTTCCTTTTGTACGCTGCCTGTATGCCTGGAGGGAGGGGGACTTTGTGGCACACGAGGGAGAGTCCACCTGCTCTTCATTGCCTGGTGGACCATGGAGTTTTATGGGGATGGCACATGCACAGTCTGGTTGGCACATAGGCGCTGTGAGGGGTTGAGCATGGCCAGTGCAGATGGAATTTAACTGCCAAACTCTAACAAGTCTATACTGAAGATATGCAAATGGAGATTTTTTTCAAAGGTTTATAGGTTGGTGCAGCTTGGGTGTTTTTCACAGGGATAGGAAAAGGCACATCTGGGGCCCCAAGGCAACCCCCTGCCGAATTCCAAGTCCTTGCTCCACAGAATGGAGGCACTTGAGCTCCTCCGTGAAATGGTTGTAAAAAATTTTAACATGGGAAAAGCACATTATTTTTCCACAATATCTTTTTCAGAAAGGGATGAACGGTTCTAGCTGAAATTCTGAAAACTTCAGCCTGAGGCAGAACCCAGCATGGAAACTTTCAGCCTGAATGGTTAAAGTATGGCAAAGTTGTAAAGCCACAGAAAACCGTGTTATAATGGAAAGTTGTCTTAACTATAAAGGGAAGGGTAACAGCCCTCCTGTGTACAATACTATAAAATCCCTCCTGGCCAGAGACTCCAAAATCCTTTTACCTGTAAAAGGGTTAAGAAGCTCAGGTAACCTGGCTGACACCTGACCCAAAGGACCAATAAGGGGACAAGATACTTTGAAATCTTGGTGGGTGGAAGGGTTTTGTTTGTGCTCTTTGTTTTGGGGGTTGTTCGCTCTTGGGACTAAGAGGGACCAGACATCAATCCATGCTCTCCAAATCTTTTTGAACAAGTCTCTCATATTTCAAACTTGTAAGTAACAGCCAGGCAAGGCGTGTTAGTTTTATCTTTGTTTTCTCAACTTGTAAATGTACCTTTTGCTAGAGTGTTTATCTCTGTTTGCTGTAGCTTTGAACTTAAGGCTAGAGGGAGTTCCTCTGGGCTCTTTGAATCTGATTACCCTGTAAAGTTATTTTCCATCCTGATTTTACAGAGATGATTTTTACCTTTCTTTCTTTAATTAAAAGCCTTCTTTTTAAGAACCTGATTGATTTTTCCTTGTTTTAAGATCCAAGGGGTTGGAACGGTGTTCACCAGGGAATTGGTGGAAGAGTCTCCCAAGGCTACCCAGGGAGGGAAAGGTTTTGGGGGGGAAGACAGAGTTTCCCAAATAACTCATAAATCATTTGGGTGGTGGCAGCAAAAGCAGACCTAAGCTGGTAGTTAAGCTTAGAAGTTTTCATGCAGGCCCCCACATCTGTACCCTAACGTTCAGAGTGGGGAAGGAACCTTGACAGAAGTGTTAGGCAATTTTAAGTATAGGTGTCACTACCAACTCCACCTCTAACAACAGTTAGTTTTACATGGCTGTTTGGGTCCTCACCTGGAGTGCTGTCTAGACCCAGGGGGCAGGATCTGCTGTGATAAGCTCAACCAGACAGCAATTGCAACAGCACAAGGTACTTACAATCCTCCCTGAACTGGGAGGCCTGCGGCCTCCATAAATGGGCAATACTGGCCAGGGTGATCACCAGGAACATACTGATTCAGTGTCTCTCTGGCAGGGCTCCTACAGAGTCCCGACCACAGAACATTCAGTGGAAGGTAGCAGTGCAAACCACACTTGCCCTTCCCTAGGGGTGAATTCTTCCCTTCTAGCTCAAGGAGGTGCAACTTGTATCTCCCGCGCCAGCTAGGGCTAAATTAAGGCTTCTGTTAAAGAAACCAGAAGTATATTAACGTGAGGTCCAGGTCAAAGTTTTAACAGATGTCATCTCTTAAAGTCCCTTCTCTTCACAGGAAATAGTACAGAAAAGTTTGGGGAATGAAAAGTCTGGCTGAACCAAGAGCTACCTTATCAAGAGCTGCCTCCATGTTAGCAATCTTTTCTTTCAAACGTCGATCTTGTGACCTTAGGATCTCCAGCTCTCCAGTCATCTTGTTGTTTTCTGTTGCAATACAACTCAGTTCTTGGCTCAGTTTATTTTTCTCTTCTTTCAGATAATGCTTCTCCTGCATTTGTAGAGATCAAGACCAAAGTGAATGAGATAACAGTTTAGGATTGCTAACAATATACACATCTGTTGTCTATGAGCTTTATGACTTGAAGTAGTTTATATTCTTTAAAAAAATTTCAGTGAACCTTTCCAGAAGCTCAGCTATCGTACTAAGCAGAAACAGGAGTTTTCACAATAAGAAGGTGACCTCTTATAGCGTTAGACTGTCACCTCACAGAGCCTTGAACCATTTCATATCTGAAATTTGAAGCTTTGAGAGTGTATGAGCATACCATGCTCCACATTATTATAAGCTCTTCCATTGCCTAATACCGAAGAAACAACTGTCATATTCCATGCAAGTGACTAGATCCAAAGCTAGCAGAGGACCATGAATTGCTGTAAACACATGTAGGTGATAATCCAGTCAACTCTACTGGTAACTAAACCACTTATCTGTCTTGGAATCTACTAGACAGACCTTCATTGTTAAGAAACTGACAAGCAGTATCCACCAAAACTTGAAATGCTGAGAATCTGAATTAAGACAAATTCTGCTAAACTGTCCTCCAAAGCAAGCACCCACTGTGGCATTATTGTATGAACAATAATGTTTACAGAAAATATGAAAATAAATTATTGTAGCTGCCTGACAGTTTTTGTCAATCAGGATATGTTAGCTAATAAATATAATAGTTGCCTGCTATTGAGCAGAATGAACCAAAATCACCTCTGCATGGATTTTTCAGTTAGGAAATAGTATCTCAAATCCAGCAGCAAACAAAACTGAGAGGTAAAACTGAGGGTCAGCACTGAGGGCCAGATTCAGAAGGATGTGCAAGAAAGGGGAGTTGGTTGGTAAGAGGGTGTGAGTCTAAATGAGTTTGTAAGTAATTAAGGGCCTGATTCTCGTTTACACTAAGGTCACTTTCATCTGATCTGGCAGTAAATTATATTTACCCTCAGTTTAGGGCTCCTTTACATCACTAGAGCAGTATAAAGTGACTTAATGTATATGAAAATTAGGCCCTAAGTCTCAGGGAATTTAAGTCTGGAGAGAGACTAATTGATGTAACCTTCAACTGGAGGAAGCCAGATGAAGGTGTAAGTTACGTTAACTAATACTCCCTTTGGTCTCTCTTGGACTAACCCTGAATTTGGCCCTGAATCTCTACTTGGAACTATTTATCTAAATATAGTTAAATACTTTTACTTGGAGCTCTTGTGACCTTAGTTGCATTTGTCATTGCCTCCTCCAAGAATTTAATCTTGCTCTGCAATGCATCTATCTGTCCTCTCTTGGCTGTGATTTGCTTCTGCATTCCCATTGCAACTTTCATAGCTGTAAAAGACAAGGTTCCCAACTGATTAGTCCTTTATGAACAAAATGGATCAAGCATGATGCTTTCTGTGTTCTTATTTGGAAATCAATTGTCAATAATACACTAAAAACAGACTGTGGGTTGGGATCCTGCAGTCCTTATGTGAGCAAACTTCCCATTAGAGTCAATGGGAGTTTTGCCTAGGTGGTGACTGTGATATAAACAGAAGAACCTAAACTGGTAAATTTAATATAGACCACCTCATACTCTGAAGAAATGCAGCTCCAAATTTCCTGGCTTAATTTGATTCCTAGTAAACCATAAAACAACAAGGTGTCTGCATATGCCACTGTTTTTTATTCCTTTTATAAAATATTTGAATTACCATTAAAAACATCTACTGAAGGAATAAATATATTTACAAATTCCACTTGTTAAAAAGACAAACAAATATGACGTAAGGAAAAAAACCTTCCAAAGTTACCATGGCCGTCGGAACCTTCCATAGTCTTTAAAGTGGCTCTGGTTTGTTCCAGTTCAGCCTGGGCAGATTTCAATTGCATTCTGAGTTTGCTCGTGATACCTTCCATCTCTTCGCTTTTGTCTCGATAATTCCTCTTTAAATTTTCATATTCCTCTGTTCAATGTAAGCACATTGAATTGAACGAAAGTGTCAAGTGGTTCATAAAATCACCCACCTGTTACTATTTAATTTATTTATTTATGGGCTGATTAATCCCTTAAAAGGAATATGATATTTATGCAATTAACAGAGAAAAAAATTGCTAACAAATTAAAACACGTCATATTCCATTGCATTGCTATGATGTCATCCAAAGGCTGTGTTTCACTGGAACAAAATGAGATGCATTTCCTAACTGTTCTCTAAGGCTACCATTCTACAACGTGACAATAAAGCTACACTTCTTGATTGTGTGCTGCTCAGGGATCAGACTGCCCATTGCTACCTGGGGTGGCATAGCTACTTGTGAGATAAAATATTTGACCTGTGCCCATTCTCTCAGGCTCTTTTTCACAACTCCAACCTGCTCTATGTCCGGACATAGCTATAATCACCCCCTCTCCACACAATCCCCCCTGAAATCGCTTTGGCACAGCTGCAACTCAAATGCATCCCTCAAACAGCTCTGACCCCCTCAAATTCCCCCAATCATCCTCCACAACACTATGTTCCCTACACAACTCCCTCCCGCTACCTGCACAGGTCTGGCTCCCCCACAGTGTGGCCCCCCCAGCTCTGGACCCTCCATTTCAGACCCCCCCACGCCCTCACACACTTTAACTCTGTTATTATTACCTTTCACAAAATCTGAGGACAGACTTTCCAACTAAAAGTATGTATATGGTTACAATCTACTAATCTTGCTGAGGTCAGAGTTAAGGTTGTGCACTGGAGCATGACTGTGGGAAGCTGGGCATCTTATTGTGGGTGTGTCTATGCTGAAAATGAATGGGGGAATCTGTGAATGCGTGTGGCTGGTATAATGTCTGCATAGTACAGCATGTGAATTGTGGTTGGTCTGGATGTTAATGCTGCCTTAACAGGTGATTTCCTTGAGTTCTGGTGACTGTGGTGAAAGGAAATACACATGTACAACCTCACCTCATAGTTATGAGTTTTTGAGTAGGCTATTATTGGCAGTGATAGGGCTCAGATACTTTCTGCCAATATCACATACTATATGTCCCTGGCATCTTGATCTCCTTTCATGTATAGTATTTAAGGAATGCATTTGCTAATGTCCTCTTTCTGATGAGTTAAGATACAAGATTTTCTTTCACTAGTTTGATAGTAAACAGTTAATAGGATGTGCCAGATCAGTTTATTTAAATTATGGAACATTGCAGTATCTAGCTTCCCTGTATAATACCTGAGGAAGAAGGAGGGGTCTTGGTGAAGTTTATATTCTGTGACCTACTAGGGTTTTTATTCTGGGCCCTACTGAAGGTCAGGCTGTGCTAAGTATTTTTGCACAAGGCACTGGGAGTTATGCCTCTAAATTACACCATCTTCATTCTATACTAGAAATCCAAATAATGAATTAGCTCTCTGAAGCAGCCTGACCATCAGTGTACTCTATCTGGGAACCTTTTACTTGACTTTACTGGTAGCCATATTTGGATTGGATAGAATATTTGGATTCTATTTTTAACATCAGCCTGATTTAGCAGATATCTGATCTGAGGCTCCCTACCTGCGAGGCCAGCTAGCTCAGTGCGACTGGCTTTCAGCTCATTCATTAGTTGGTCTCTTTCCAGTTTCATATCCTTTACTGCACGGAGCCTCTCAGTGCAGGTATTTATCAGTTTAACTTTTTCCAGCTCCAGCTCACTCAATCTGGCCTCCATTTCACGGATTCTGTCTTCTTTCTTGTCCATCGCAATCTACTTATGTAAATAAATAAATGATAATAAATCTATTAATTAACAATTAAGACATATACACATCAGAATGATTTGAAATCTGATTTTTATCATGGAATAACTTGGTGCAAAGATAAAACTAGAATGGAAAAGACACATTTACTTAAAAATGGGGGGCATAAATAGATAAACAGATTCTTTCAGCATATATCACTGTCTCTGCTAACCCAGTTGATTACTGTTTTTAACAAAATGTGCTTTGGTCTTAAGCATTATCAGAGTTCAGCTAGTGGCTAAATCAGTTTATAAGATCCCTAACTCAGGGATATTTTGTGTTTTGATTCCTGTAGTTACTCACAAGATTTTTAAAAAGACTGATTTACACCTTTTCACCTGTGAATGATCTGGGATTTGAAATGATTTCTTACCAAGTTGATGGAAACTAGGCTGAGCCTTTGGGAAGGTACTCAGTATACCATCTACATGAGGTGACCATGAGAAGAGGCAGGGTAAAGTGGCACTTGAAACCAGAAAAGTCACATGCTCCAAAGGTTGTAGGGGCCATAGCTCAGCTGTGGCACCCCATACACATCACACAACAGCAAAAGTACAAGGAGGCAAGGATGGCTTCATACTAAACCAGCACTGAGAGAAGACAGAGCTGATGAAGAGGTAGATCTGAATATTTTAGTGATAAGGTCCTTTGGCTTTGAAGGCTGCTGCAGATGAGGTGGGAGACTTCTGTATATGAATCTCTGAAGTGAGAGCCCTGCTAAGTATAGGGCCAGATACATCACTTGCAAAGTCTCTAGTGGGTTCAGCCCAAGAGACTTAGAACCATGCTTGTAACAGAACCAGGGAGTCAGCTCTGGATCTGATGATGCACTGCAAAACTCCTTAGCCCTCACTCAAAACTCTGGATGCTGAACTGACATCAGACCAGAACCAATGGAGATCAACGGAAAGAGCTCAAGTGTACCTCCAGTGCTGAACTGATCAAATTATTTCTATATGAACCAACAAATCTGAGCCACTTGGAATTGAGTAAGCTCCAAGAACCAACCTTTCCTTTTCTAAGGAGTCTTGTCAGCACCTGAATATGGCGAGCTTAGAATGCCTCTTCTTTAAAGAAGATGTCAGGTCTATAGGGCATACTCTAGATGAGGAATGTTTAATCAGTCTCAATGAAGAGAGCCACAAAGGTTGAGAGTGCTTCTCCTTCTGTAACTAAACACTCATAATTATCACTCTCAGTAACAATATGACTTTTTCTGTTTTGTTGAAGGTGCGGTCTGACACCTTCAGATCTGACATCTCCAAGGCCTTCAAGATTGAGTCCTGAGTGGACAAAATTTCTTCCTAAATTTTTGTCTACTTCTCCCGCTCGCCTCTTGCCTGCGGTGGTGGGGGTGGTGAAGCCTGTATGGTAAAGGGTGCCTCACAGGTTGGTCCGTCATGCACTTCTCGTTGTCATCAACCTTTGAAGCCTAAACACTTCTCTGGATCTGTCTATGAAAGAACAAACTAGTTCTGGATCTAACACACTGTTGTTATAGTAACAATTAACATCAATTATAACGGCTAATTATTATACTAACATCCACTGTTATTCTAAAACTAATTCACTGTGTAATCGAGAACAATGAAGCAATGGTTCTATGCCCTCTATCATCAGTAGAAAAGAAGCTGAAAATGGTAGGGTGGCCTTTTATAACCACAGATATGATCTGCAGATCAATGCGTTCACACCACCACCTGCTGCTCAACTGCCTTAGAGTGGGACACACAATGGCTGAAGCACTATTCTACAGTGGGGATTCACAGTGGTAATTTTGTGATGAAGAACACTCTTTTGCCACCTCCTTCTAGTCCTTGTTTGGTTTTTGGTAAAATGATGGAGCAGAACAATTGGCCTATAGATTATAAAAATAAGAGGCTAAGCTATTCACACAGACACACATTTGGTTGTGCATAACTGGGTAATTGTACACCTTGTTAAATTTGCAGTTGTGCATGCAGTTATCCCTTTGGTATATGCAAAAGCATGCTTTTACATGTGCAACACAGGTACACATTTTTGAATATTTAGTCCAGTTTAGTTACTTCTCTGACTCATGGACATAGAGTGAAATCCTGGCCCTGCAGGATTGCACATGATTTCACCCATAATCTGTTAACTTCAGACCTAGAAATATTTATCTTATTTTTCATACAAACTGATCAAAATAATAATGATAACATAATGATGATGCTCCCAGCCATGCTAGGTCTTCTAAATGTTTATAGATTTCTAGGCCCATTTTCCGACCTCCTTGAAAACACAGACAGTGTAACATATCGATAGAACAGAATGAATGTACTGTCTTGCAGAGACGTAAACACTGTGAAATGTACAGACCTTAAGTTCTTGTACTTCCAGTTTCCTGTCACTGATTTCTTTCACAAGCTGAGATTTCTCCACCTCCATTGCACCAGCAGTTCGGCCATGCTGGCCCACAATCTGGGTCATGTTCTCAATTTGCTTTTGGAAGATCTCAATAACTCTTTCCTTTTCCATCACCTGCAGTTTCAGTGTCTCACACTCCGACTGCACATTTTGTAAGTAGTCCCCTTCATTCTTTAAGAGCTGGAGCTCCTGCAACTTACTATCTACCCGTGACCGGAGCTTCTTGATTTCCTCATTGGTAATTTCAATGGCTCTCTCCTTCTCTTGCAGGCAGGCTGTCAAGTCAGACACTGTTCTCTCAGAAGCCTCCAGATTGATCTTCTTGGCTGTCAGATCTTCAACCACTTTACGGAGCATCTCTTTGGTTGATTCTAGCTGGGCAGTCAAGGAGGAGACTCTTTCAATGCTTTCATTCTTTTCCTTAATTGCAGTCATCTGAATGGTAACAATAAAATGGTCAACTTTGACAACCGTATTTTCTATCTATCTTCCTACCTACAGGTTTTCTAGCTACCTATCTATGGATTTTCTATAGCATCCATCATTATAGTATCTAAGAGCTTCATCGGTAAATTAGGTTTGCATGACAAGGACCCTAGTGGATTTCATGATTCTTCTGCTTTTCTTCCTTCCTTGATAAAGGAAACACAGTGTGAAATATAGAAAAAAAATAAGTAGGACTGATGATGAAAAATAGAATAAACAAATTAACTGTCTCTAAACTATTTAGAGGAGACAGGTCTAAATCATTCAATATATTAAAGCCTGGCCAATTGAACTTTACAGCAAATATATCCTGGAAAAAGTATGTGTGCATCAATAGTATATAACTAGTTTTATTGCTGTAGTCAGCAAAGTGCATAGACTTTTATGGGACAACCTCCAACAGGAAGCATCGTGACCCAAGAGCCGCTAATAGTGCAGTACAGATGCAGAAGACAAGAATGGACCCAGAAATATCAGGAATTGAAGGTAGAATTTCATGGGGTGGGTGGTTGCAGGAAATAGTTGTAGGGAAAGCCTGGCTAGTTGGTGGCAAATAAAGGAATCAAGTTATAGACAAATTAATTTGACCTAAAGTGAAGAGCAGTAGCTGACAGGATTGGCACTGGGTTACATATTTGGAGTTGGAAGATTTTTTGAGAGGATGCAGCAGTTTGAAGGAAGGAGTTGACTCTAGAGCTTGATGTCCAGAGTCTACTCTGTTGAAAGCAACAGAACAGTCCTTTTGGACACAGGGCTCAACTCAGCCCAGTAATTAGGCTGTAGACATAAACACCGCCATGTCCCGATGAAATACTGTATAGAGTGGATCAATTATGAGGGCCTTTAGTTCACTAGCTCTTCTTGCAGAAGTGATTGCCACCAGAAACACCGTCTTGAAAGAGAAGTGAAATAGAGAACAGTCCACAAGAGGTTCATAGGGTGCTGCCATCAGTCCTGTGCACATTACATTTACTGTACATGCACAAAATGCGATTTCTGGAGGCTTATAACTTGGCCAAAGCCAAACCAAGTTTCACCAGACACTCAAAGTCACTTCTTCATGAAGTGTGTTAATGTGCCAAATTTCAAATTCCAGCTGTTTTGGTATAAAATCACCTTAGGCCAGAGATTAGGACCGAAAATTTCTGACTGACAGGTGAAAGTTCCAGAAAGTTATGAGTGATCGAAACTAGGGTGTTAGAATGAAAACCTCTGGCACCTTATGTATAGATGCTGCTCATGTTCCAACTAGGATAACAAAAACAGTGCTATTTTTAGTATATATCTAGGTGTATGGGAATGGGAAATCTCTCAATGGTAATAATACCACTCAGCAGTTCCTTCCTGACCTGACGTTCCATTTGTCCCTGACACTCGGTCTTCATTGTCTTCATTATGTTCTCCATGCGCTGCAATTCCATATTCTTGTTGTCCAGTTCTCGCCGTAGGTGGTCAATGGTGATGCTGTTGCCAGTGTCCCGATCCCAAAGCCGCTTGTTCTGCTCCTTTTCCAGACTCAGTTCCATCTCTTTTTTATGTACATCAGCCTACAAGAAATTACAGCAGCCATTGTCCTCTTTAAATTGTAAAGCCATCCTGTCTTTTGTTTTCTTTAATATTAGCAACAATCAGTAATATAGTTAAATCATTATTACTATATCTTTACACCTAATAAAAGCCAGGATTTCTGGTGAACAGCTAGTTTGATGCTTCTGAGGCACCATCTTTCAACATAGCAATAGCTTTAAACCAATCCTCTTCTAAGTACTACTGCTATTAATATTTTATTTAACATTTCAAGACTTGAAGCCTTTGATGCCATTTCTATGCCAATATACCTTAGCCAAAAAAAATCAGCAAAATGCAAAAAACTGCATTGTATCAAAATTAAAAGTGAAAATACAAATACCACAGTACATGCCAAGGAAGGAAATCATCCACCTTTAACAATAACGAGAACTGTAATTTCATGGCTTGATTGACTCTGTTTGCAGACAGCAATTTGTTGTACGTTTTTTCAATCATTTTTAGCTCAGAAACAAATGTAAAGATTCAAAAACTGATGCCACAATCCAAAATTATCCGGCAATTTGGGAAATGTTAATTAAAAAAGGGGTTAGCAGAATTCTTAGTAGAACGTGAAGGGGCTGAAATTTTGGAAGTGGAGGCAGCACGCAGAATACTAGTAAAGCCAAAGAAAAGGGGAATGAAATGAGAGGCTCAAAGAGTGAAAGAATGAACATACACAGTAAAGGCATTGAAACAAATTTAACTTTTCCCCCAATGCCTTGAAGAATATTAGAAACTGAGACTATCTTACTCATCTATTACAGTGACATTTCATCAGTGACCATAAAACTAGAATGCTTTACTCTTAATTGTATAGTGACTGTCCTGACTCCAGCCTTCTCTACGCTATAAAGCGTTCACAGGAAAAGATATACTTTACGCATTCCTGATTAGATAAGAACGGCCATACTGGGTCAGACCAAAGATCCATTTACAGGGCCGGCTCTACTGTTTTTGCCACCCCAAGCAGCGCGCCGAATTGCCGCCGCGGACGGCGGGGGCAGTCCATGTGTCGTTAGGGCAGCATGCGCGTTTCCGCGGCGGCGGCTATTCGACGGCAGCTTCTGTCTTCAGCCAGAAGACAGAAGCCGCCGAATTGCCACGGCCGTGGAAACACCCTAATGGCACATGGACTGCCCCCGCCCTCCGCGGCGGCAATTCGGCGCGCTGCTTGGGGCGCAAAAAATCACGGACTGCCGCCCCTTGCAGATTGCCGCCCCAAGCACCTGCTTGGAATGCTGGTGCCTGGAGCCGGCCCTGTCCATTTAGTCCAGTATCCTGTCTTCCAACAGTAGCCAATGCCAGGCGCCCCAGAGGGAATAAACAGAACAGATAATCATCAAATGATCCATCCCCTGTCGCCCATTCCCAGCCTCTGGCAAACAGGCTAGGGACACCCTCCCTGCCCATCCTGGCTAATAGCCATTGATGGACCTATCCTCCATGAACTTATCTAGTTCTTTTTTGAACTCTGTTATAGTCTTGGCCTTCACAATACCCTCTGGCAAAGAGTTCCCCAGACTGACTGTGCGCTGTGTGAAAAAACACCTTTTGTTTGTTTTAAACAGCATACAGAATGCAGTCATGCAAAACTCTTCTTCAGATTCCATGTGTCACCTATTGTACAAGTGACACTAGACAGAGAGTTGGTATACTAACCTCCCAAAACCCAATCATGACATTACAGAACTCATACACAGAGCAAAAGATGAGTGTGATGAGTATTACACTTAGCATTGGAAATAGGGTGTATGTATGAAACCAATGATCTGTGATGCACAATTTTGCTACTATCTGTGCAAGCTATACAGGTACAGTGTGGTTTCTTTTTCCCCATTTAAGATGTCTTCAGTCTATGGCTAGGGACTATTTAGAGTAGTTAGGAAAGTCCTGGATCAAAAAAAAAAAAAATCTTACTAAGCAGATATGAAAGGAAAAAAGGTGGGATGCTAACCTAGCTTAGCTATGGGGTCAGAGTTAAGGATGGGAATGGGCGATGGGATGGATCACTCAATGATTCCCTGTTCTGCTCACTCCCTCTGAAGCACCTGGCATTGGCCACTGTCAGAAAACAGGATACTGGACCTTTGATCTGACCCAGTATGCCGGCTGTTCTTATATTTGGGAGCCTTAACTGTGATTTTCATAGTTTCAAATGTTTGCATTGCTTTTAATGTTAACCTGAGCTCTGAATTTCCTGGGTTTCTAATGGAAATGAACTTGTGATAAGGTATGTGCCCCACATAAGTAATGAAACAATTAACTGGAGTGGAGAGCCCAATTAAGGCACCTGGTTGCACCTGAAGGGTGGGCCAGGCCCAATTAAAGAAGAATCCCAGCTGGGTTGTTAGTATAAAGAGAGGAAGCCCAGCCTAGAGGATGGTTGTGGGGAGAAAGCGTTCTGCAGTGCCTCCCTTGGTAGTATGGAGGAGAGCCTGGCGGGGTCAAGGAGAAAGCTCCCTGGGATCCTCTCCTGAATAGAGGATGCTGGTAAGAGTCTAGGAGAGACATGGAGCAAGTATTGAGGTGGAGTAAACTCATTAAAAAGGCAGAATTGGGACTTCCAGAAAGAGAGAGAGAGAGAGAGAGAGATTGAGACCGAGCCCTGGTAGATGCTCAATTGAGGAACAGAGCAGGGGAAACCTGAGAGATTAAATGAGAGCCTGAGGAGGGCAGAAGTTTGTTTAAGTTTGTACTTCTAGTTTGGGATTTTGTTGGGGGACACAGGGAAGAGCCCTGAGAGTCCTGGCCACTAAAAGAAAGATGAAACTAGAGAATCTGTGGGGAGAAGGCTGGAAAAAGGCCATGGAAGGAGGATGTCCAGGGAAGCAGCAGCAAGGAGTCTGATGGAGCAGATGTTGGCTGCTGGCTATCGGGGCCCAGTGTAAAGGAGGGGTCTGGGTTCCCCTAGCTTTCACTGTGGCACATAGTGTGAAACCCCTGGGAAGGGGTTATGGTTGAATCCCTAAATGAAGGCTGGTAGGGACCATGGGGACCAGAGTTGAGGGCCAAAGTAAGGATTGGAACTATTATTTGCAAGACTTCTTGTTATCCTAGAAGGGGTGGGACTAAATGTGACCTGACCAGGGGGCTGAGGTCATAAGAACAGGCAGACCACTTCCAGGCCGGAGCTGGTGTTGGCAGGAATGAAGGAGAGTCTGCTATGCCATGCCCAGCCACAAGGGGGTATGCCTGCATTGAGTGTGCTCTTTTCAGACCTTTCTGAGGATTTCTGGGGCAGGAAGATTAAATTTATAGTAAGTCTCAATCTTAATTATAAAGAGGCTGCCAGCTTTCCATAATAGGCAAGGTGCCAATACAACAGCAACAATAAAAAGAAAAGCTCTCAGAAGGTAAGATTGAATCCGTGTATTCAACTGATTACGAGACAAACTGATTACTAAAATGGAACTCCCCTATAAATTGTTCTTCAATGGTTTATTAATATCTCAAATTCCTACCAGCAGCTGCTGAAGCTGATCATCCAGATTTCCAGATTCTTGACTGTATTGATCCCGTTCAGTTTGTGCCTCTGCCATCTCAGAATGAGCCAGGTGCAATTGCTTTTCCAAATCTTCTATCTAAAGTACGCATGCAAATAAAAAGAATGTAACAGCTGGGGCTAATTATCTTATGGGACAGTTCTACTCCGAAAAGTGACTATGTCCAAAAGGTGCTGCTGTACTCGGCAGATCTGTTCCCTATGTGTATTCAAAGATATATCTGCTTGCTTTAGTGATTAAAGTGAGTTTTTACTACTATTTTTTCCTCTTGTTAGTCCTGGAGAGCCAACACAGCTAGGGGAGAATGAGCTGGATTCTATTCCCACTCAAACCTCATCAAGAGAATTGTTAACTACAGTCTAAATGCAGAATCTTGATGTTGGTAATGGCTGAGCTAGGAAAAAACCCAGTTTGACTTGCAGATTCTAAGTTGAGATTGCATGGTTGGCAGTTAGATAAATCAACATTTTACTTGAAAATTGAGCACCTTTGATAAGGAGTCACTGTGTGGTAATAAACATAGTACCACTCACAATGCTATTGTAACACTTTTCAAAGAACTACACTTTAAAATCTAAAATCTTTCTTGGCCCGACTAAGATCTTGAAATTACCTTTTTGCCTTCTTTAAAAAACAACCAACCAACCTTTCATTGGCATAGGACAGAAGTAGTAAACTGTTCTCTCTATAATGCAATTATAATTACAGGGGAATAGCACATGTTCTGATTATTAATACAGTTGCATAGCCAGTTTATTCAGGAGTGACCTCAAAACTCCTGCCTTTCAGACCAGTGGAGAGTGGGAACATCATGCCAATGATGCTGTCATTATCCAACAGGAGAGTACAGGACAGGTCCATAAGAATCTCCTCGACAAGTCTTATCCCAAAGCCTGGTAGAGACAGGATTTGCCATCCCTGTCACTGAGCTGCAATTCTGATTCTAAGGCCTACAGTGCTCTCTGGATAGAGAGACGGTGAGGACTGGCTGTGGGGTCCCTGGTAATTCCTCTGCTTGCTAGAAGTGCAACATTAAAGGACCACTCCCAGGGCCTTTTCTGTCTGCAGTTGCCCTTAGAGCCATTCCTACAGCCCCACTATGGTGGGGCTCCATGGGAAAGGACATATTACTTATTGTACATAATATCTGGGAGGTTGGGGGAGAATGATGGTCCATACAGTCTTACCCACTCCCTGAGCTGACCACTCCCCTCCTCCTGTGAGAAACAAACCAGTGGAGAGCCCTCTGTAGGCTCCAGAGGTGTAGGAAGGTACTACCAATGGGGCTGCCCCCTCGCTTCCACGTGGGACAGATCTGTTAATGGAGAAAGCCCTTCATGCACGGATCTCCTGAGGACAATCTGAGCCAGGATTTGGCAGAGTATGGAGAGTCCCTTGCCAAACACAGCATGAGAACGATGTCCAGATGGAGCAGTACAAAAATAATAGCTTACCCTATACTACCCAATTTCCTCTAAAAATGCTTGTATGTCTGGTCATATTCACTTTGTTCTTAAAGATGAAGTGAAATCCTTCAGATATGCCATGGCCTGAGTGTAAGGTTCTGCGTGTCTGTAGCAATAGCTGATGAAGCCAATAATACCTACAACACAGCAGGGAGCTGCATTCCTTCATCATAAATACATTATCAAATCTATGTGCAAACAAATGGGTTATCTGCACCTGGAGGTGGTAAACTTTCTCTAATGCAGCAGTCCCCAAACTCTTGAGGTTCGTGCACCCCCTAACTCCTGTCCACTCACCCCTCCAGAATGACGCTGCATCTCAGGGGGGGAGGGACGCAGACGGGGGGAAAGGGGCCAAGGCTAGGGCTGCAGTTGGGGGTGGGGCTGGGAGCAGGGCTGCTGCCAGGGGCCAAGGCTGGGGGCGGAGCCACAGCTGGGCTACAATGGGAGCCAGCAGTGAGGCCCGCGGCCAGCTGTGGCTCCGTTCCCAGCCTTGCCGCCAGGAATGGAGCCGCAACCAGCAGCCAAGGCTAGGGGCTGGTACAGGGCCAGGACCGGATCCGCGCCGAGACTGTGGACGGGGCCAGGTGCAGGTATCTGAAAGTGATGTTTGCTGCAGTTAGTAACATTCGGAGAAGTATTGCACATAAAATTCTGGGTTTCTATTTTTGAATCTATTTTTGTTAAGAATTCCAAAAGGGAAAAATGCCCAAAGATTGTGTTCTGCAGTCATAGATATAGGTGGCATCTTCCAGACAAACACCTGTCAGGGATGGTCTAGAGCTGAGGTTGTGTTGGTCCCAGGCTATTAGAGAGACAAGGTGGATGAGGTAATATCGCTTATTGGACCAAATTCTATTGGTTCGGGAGACAAGCTTTGGAGCTTACACAGAGATCTTTTTCAGGTCTGGGAAATGTACTCAGCGTCACAGCTAAATGCAAGGTGGAACAGATTGTTTAGCGTAAGTCGGTAACACATATTTCAAGGGACCATTCAAGTGGAAATGGCCCATAAACACCTCTCCAGTCGTGGGTGGGTGGGAAATATGATTGCACACCCATAGTTGTCGCCTACCACCTACCACTGGAACCCACATGGGGTATCATAAAACAATTACAACCTATATTTGATGGGGACCACATCCTGAAAGAAATCTTTCCTAAACCCCTTTTTCTGGCCTTCAAACAACTCTTCAACCTCTCTAAGCTCATCATCAGAAGCAAACTCCCCACAGACCGGGACTCACCAACTCAAAGTGTCACCAGACCCTGCCAGAACAACAGAGGCAAAACCTGTAGACATACCTCCACAGCTACAATGATCAACCCTCCCTGCCTCCCCCCCACCCTACACTTTTCAGGATCCATGGGTCCTACCTATGCCCGTCACAACATGTGGTATACCTCATCCAGTGCACTAAATGCCCTGATCACAACTATGTGGGTGAAGCGAGACAATTACTATGCTCACAAATGAACTCATGCAGAAAAATTATAAAAGACAAAAACACCATCCATTTCACCTGCGGGTGAACACGTTTCACAAAGCGATCACTCCATATCTGACCTCTCAGGTCTCATCCTCAAAGGAAACCTGCACAACAGCTTCAAAAGATGAGCCTGGGAGCTTAAATTCATATCTTTGCTAGACGCTAAAAACCAAGGACTGAATAGCGACACTGGATTTATGGCTTATCACAACAATCTGTAACCCACTAAATCCAGGGCCGGCTCTGGCTTTTTGGCTGCCCCAAGCAAAAAAAAAA